AGGGTCAGAGATAGCTCCTGGTTGGATGAGCAAAGATACGCCTTATTTGAATAAATTAAAGATAAGAATACACCTTTACTATAAAACTTTCTACACAGAAGTAACCAATCAGATTTGCTCTTGCGATTCTCCAAAGATGTCTTTGCAAGTCTTTGCTTTTCTTTCTTTCCTTCTTTTTCCAAGTCTGTCAGGTAAATGAATGTATGTCTCTGTTGTTCTGCAGTTTCTGTTGTAATTTTATGCATTGTCTTCTATTGGATTAAACTCTGTAATTCTGTGACGTCAAGACGCATTGTTGTTTTCCTTGTTTTCCTTGTGGCTACACGCGGCCATAATTTAGATATTCTTCCTTAACATCTTCTCTGCTCTACTTTGCATCATTTTCCTACTTTTTGCTTCCAATAAAACTTCCAATAAAATACATTGAGGTTTGTGGTTGTGCTTTTAGGCTCAAGATGTGTGAACAAATGGAAGGAACATGGAGTACAATCTGAGATCTGAGCCAAAGTTTGACACTTATTCTTTTTTTAAAACAGACAGCAAAAAGTGGCGTTTTATTGTGTAATTCTGCATGTATGTTTCACATTGCCTTTAAAGGTCATAAATAAGTTGTGTTTGTTAGAATTAGTTCATTTTGAACTTTGCACAAGACATTTATATACATTACAGGAAAAAAACGGCACGTATTTCTAACTTGTCTCCGATTCACACCGTTTTTTGGAGCCGGTTAATTCAGCTTCTCCAAGTCCAACGGAGATACAAATCTCGAAAAACATTCAAGGGAGGTCGGCAGCTCTCCATTCTCTCTGATTAGTTACAAAGGTCTCCCTTTTGCTGCCGGTATCATAGTTGAGATACACAGCCAAGATAATTTGGTGCCCTCCCGGCAGCCAGACCAAAAGCACATCTAGCCGCGGGAGCCGCCAGCCTCCTCGGTGAAATTTAATTTGGTGAGAAAGCGCAGGCTTGCAGAAGCATCCACCCCCATATTCATCAGCCGCCGTCGATTATCGAGGCCCGGGTGTTTTTAGGGATGCAACGAAGAGCGGATAAAGAATTTGAATTCCTGGCTGGACTATCAGTAAAGGTTATTAAGCCATTGTTGATGCATCCATTTGTCGTGGCTGTATCCAGCAGTGTGACATTTATCAAGTATGTCCAGCTAAATGTCACAGAGAGCGGTAGCTCGCTGTCCTGTCCCTAATTAGGACCCTGAAAGTCACACTGAAAGTCCCTCTCTTCCACTCCAGGACAACTTTGATCTCTTCCTCTTCCTTACTCTTGCCTGTATTTTCCGCACCCTCCCCTTCTTTTGTCTTCCCTCCCCCGTGTTTCCCAAAGCATAGCAGGTAGTGCATGTTAAGCAAACTTTGGGGTTTTAACAATTGATTGTGAGATGGGGATAAAGCTCAGACAAATGGGGAAGCATGTGGGCCATCCGTCACAAATACAGGACTCATTGTTTGCAGATTTTAACCTATGGGAGAGCTCGCTTCTTCCCCAGCGGCCTCCACAAATCATAGGCAGGCGAGGGAGCGCCGCGCGCTCGGCAGGCCTGGCCTGGGAATAGCCTGAAAGCGGGACGGAGACTCAGCTGCGTGAGCAAAGTGCCAAGCTTGTACTACTTGCACTCGCTCCCAACGCACCAGCCCCAGTTTTACAAGCATGAAATTGATTTTTTTTTTTGTGTGAGATTATGGAAGGGGAACATGAAAATGTATGTGGAAATCAAAAGAGGTAATCAGATGAAATTTAGAGTTGCGGCATATTTTATTTTTTCCAAAACTGTAAAGTTTTCCAGAACTTTTCTGGACATCAGAGTGAGACATGTTTGTGTTTCTGCACGGTTCACAAATCCTTACGTAGCAGCACAGAAGCTAGGTTTTCAATTCAAAGTGTAGGTTACGGCTACAGACTGTTTTAGAAAAACTCAGCTTTTAAAGGCTAACGGTTGGACTTCAGCAGTGGATTTGCTAAATACCATATCATGTTTTTGAAATCTGTAACACCTTTATCATATCTGGCTTCTGAACTAGAACCACAGGTCCAGTTTAACAGCCACTCTAAAACAACATGGAGGCCAAAAATGTCTTGACCGTTCTTTACTGAATCAGTTTGCATTTCTGTATCGATTCCTTCACTGTGCATTAGGGGAGGGGTATCACATTTATTTTTCAATGTCTTGATATTCAGATATGGGGGATTCAAATCACTTAACTGATGTCAAATCTTTATCATCTCATGTTAACCAACAACTTTTTGTTGGTTAACAAAAAGAGTTAACGAACAATAGCAATTCAACATTCACTCGTAAATCATTTCGAGAGTCTGTGGCAAGATGTAAAAGTCATTTGTTTTCCCCATCCAATCTGAATTTAAACATTTTTGCAAAACAAAGATGGGAAAACCACATTTTATTCCTTATAAATTCCCAATTATGTTGTTAAGCTACAAAAAACGAGCCAGCGGATTCTTCTCTGGGTAGTTTTATTCAAATGATGGAGTCTGGACAAACATGGTCACACAATGGCTTAGCTCTCAGTGAGAACATGAACATAATGAGGCGTCACAAAGATCACAATGGCTGCTTGGTCCATCAGATGACGTAACTGGTTCCTATTCACGAATTACATCATCGATTAAGATGGTCCAGACACTGTTCTGAACAATATGTGTCTCATAATCGCTGGAACTTCTGTGTGTGCAGATAATCCGAGTGCAGGTTTGACCGAGATTGCTGCATTTGTCAAACATGCTGGATAACAGCTAAGTTCCCACACACACCTGTGACACTAAGCTCTCCTTTCGAAAAGTATTCATTCCTTTCTTACACCTGTTGAATCAAAATTTTGGTTCTAGGTAGGGATAGGAATTTATTGTATTAATTATTTTGTTATCCTGTTAAGAATTTTGATTTATCCATGTTATGACAGTTTCCAGTTAACATTTAAAATCCCTCCAAACCATCTATAAATGCCATTTTCTGCACTTTGTTTAATGAGAATATTAATACATTTTAAGATAATGATTAAATGAAGTTAGTGATACAAATCACACTTTACGTGACTGGTGTCCCAAAGAAGCAAATGGGAACGTTTTTAAAAGAGCATTGTTTGTATTTATGTGGCTATGATTACTGTGAAAGGCGGTCACAGCTATACGGTTACCCAAAAAATTAAAAATAAAATAAAAAGAAATAAACAGTTATAGTTATCGTAACATATCATGATAAAACTAAGTTAGAGGTTAAAGAGGTGGTGATATATTTGCAAGATACTGCGTATTGTAGGAAATTATCTTTTACATTGAGTTCAGCTGGACATTAATGTAACATTAGCCAGAGAGAACAAAGCATTGATTTTATGCTACAACATTTAAAGCTCAAGTAATCTATTTTATGTTTTGTCCCTAAATTTTAGGATCAAAAGAAACCAAAATGATCCAGTTTCAGAGTCTTCAAAACATTTATTGTTTCCAATCACTGCTTTAACTCCTTTTATAAGAGTCTCTGACAACTTAAGTTGCAGGCTTTTCTGTACTGTGAATTGTTGCTAATTATAATCGCCTGATGAACCTGGCACTGAGTCCAATTTTTAATAGTATTTCTGTGCAACATTTAATTACTGGTAATTATTTTGGCATGGTATCGAGTTCAGTGCGTGCCTTTCAGAATCATTCAGTCGCTGTTCTGTGTGTTGAGTCACAACTCTGAGCAAACAACACAGGTCACCTTGGGGTTTTTTTGTTGTTGTTGTTTTTGTAGTTGGTGTGAAATCCATGGCATGTGTTGGTTCCAAAAAATTTCTGTTCTTTTTTGTTTGTTTTTGCCGTTTTTATTTGAATTTCTCATGTTTGTTTTGGCTGTGTGAGCTTTGAACAAAGTCCAAGCCGCGTGGAAACCCAACGCAGACGAAAACAAGAAACTCTTTGAAAGATCCTACATGGAATGTCGAAATCTTTCAATACTGATTTCTGAGTCATCCTGCGGTCCGTATGAAATCACATTGTGAGAAACACACCTCGGACCCCTTTTTCAAAGACGGAGGAAACAACATAAGCAGCAACAGTCTTTCATATGGAGCTCTTTACACACGAGACCTGATTCAGGTATATAGAAGACGTGAGGAGTGTCGAAGGACGGCACATATGGAGTCTTAATGGTGGAGCATGTTGCATTAATGTGTGGTGGGCTAACCCAGTGGTGAGTATCAGGAGACCTCCTACCTGTATGGAGACGGAGCCAAAAACAGAGCTTTGGACTCATGGGAGAAATGGTTCTGAAGCCTGAGATTGATGATAGTTGGGTGTGCATGAGTATGTGCAATATAGGAACCTATTAAATGGATTCTATATGTGTTTGTTTTCATTAGTTTGACAAGCAGAATGCGCGGGCCATGTTAATGAGGTTTCAGTTTTTCCCCTCAGTGGTAAATACTTGCATGAGGAAATCCACATTTTACGAAATCCGTGTACAACCATGCGCCCTGCTCCCAAGACCCCGCGCCTTCCTTTCTGCTTTTCTGTCATTTAATTTCCCCCCTCACTCGCTCCCTGCTGATTCCTCCCTCGTTTCCCGGCTGGGCCCCCTTGGCCTTCAGGTCCCCCCTAACTGAATCTTGTGCTGTTCAGGCGTCTATAGGGGCCCACCTGCCATAACGCAAATAAAGCATTGAATTCCTCTGCTTGGGAAGAAAGGTGATAATGCCTTTCTGGGGCTGTCGCGTCCCCGAGGAGCAATGCAGCACGGCGCAGCGCGGTGTCGAGCAACGTGTGAGGGAAGGTTTGCATAACCTTTTGATAAGCACATACAGTGCCAAAGTAAACACACACACAAATGTATGTGTGGCCCATTCTGAGAATACCTGCTTCCTGCAAATGTTCTGTGAGGATTGCATGATCCTGTAATGAAATGTGGTCTTCCTTAGAAAACTACCGAATGACTAATGAGATAATTGCCAAAAATGTCACGAAAGAGGAATACAATAAAACGCTACGTACCTGGGAGTGGCGATGGTGCAGAGGTAAAGCACGTGACTCACATACGGACGTCTCGGTCCTTGACGCGGCCGTCATGATTTGACCTTTGGCACATGTCTTCCTCGTCTCTCACAACTCACTTTCCTGTCAGATCAATGTCAAATAATGGTCATAAAAGTTGAAAAATCCTTAAAAAAAAAAAAGTTATGTACATCTAATAAGCTACACAAAGAATAGGCTAAGCGCCAGAAAGTATTTGAAACATACCGGCCTTTGTGTTGAAATCGCCACTTTTGCGATGGTGGACTATGGTGGAGGTGCTTGACCCTGGGCGATACAATCTGTCGACTTCAGTTCTTGTTAGCGTCACCTAAGACAAATTGATCACAGGAGAGGGGTCAGAAAAAGAACAATTTAATAATCTTATTACAATCACAGTCCAATAGGAGGGACTAACTTCACCTGGACTATGGAGACTGAAGGGCCCCGAATGGTCGGACCAAAGTCAAACTGTCAACGCACGGTCACATGGTTTTCAGAAGTTCGTTTTGCTGGTCTCCAAGACCCACCAAGTCAAGCACCATGTCCCGCTGCACTATACATTAAGGTGTTATGCTCTGTGTGTGGTCTACAACAGCAGCCTAATCGTGGCAAAGAGGATCAACTCTTAACATGAGTCCTGAGGAGGAACTAATGATTGATGTGGTGGAATATCTCATTTTATTTTACGTTTTCAAAAAAAAAAAAAAAAAAAGAATGGAGGGCATCTGTGACACATTCTCCCGCTTTATTGGGCGAAAAACGAGCAGGGGGCTTTGGACAACTGCTCATCAAAACTATCTGTTCTGCTCTATGACTGAGAAACCAGATACTGGAAGTTCCACATAAACATATCCACATAATTCACATCAATCACATAATAGTTTTGCATGAAAAGAGCAATAAAAAGTTTGCCAGTGTGGTTGTGACAACTGGGGGTGGACGACATGAGGCCGAGAAAAAAAGGACGCAATTTTCGTCACGTAAATGTGACAATGAGAACAGATTCCAACAGTTCGATTCGACCAAGCAGAAGCCAGATCCTTACGTCACCAAGTCGAACTTGTTCCCAGTAAGGATTGGACTCCATCAGGGCTACTTTCTACAATAATCCTATTTTTAATGCTCACAAACAGAATCTCAAGACGCAGTTGTTGTGTGGATTGGGAATCTCAAGGTCTGGGCCGTGACCTTCGATGTGCAGTTGATCAGTTCGCAGCAGAATGTGAAGCCGCTGGGATGAGACCTTTATGTCAGAGACCATTGTTCTCAGCTGGAGAAAGGTGAACGGCTGCCTCTGGGTTCAGGGTTAGTCTGTGCTTCACGAGAAGTTCAAGTATCTAGGCGTCTTGTTACCGAGTGATGGCACAGAGGACCTGGAGATGGATAGACTGGGGTTCCATCTGCATCCATCTTTTGTTATAAAGAAAGACTTTATAAAGCTAGGGAATTATTTGATCAGGTGTACCAAAAAAAAAGAACTACGAAAATACAAAAGGTAGAGGAATAATGTTTTTCTCAGAGATTTTCTGGATACTGCCCCCAAATGTTTGTTTTTAAGTGACCACTGACACGCTAGAGTCTGCAACACTTATAACCTTTAATTCATAAATTAATTGAAATCTGTTGATTTTTTTATTTGATCACATTCTAACTTTAAGACAAATCTTTGTAATTGTACTGCTTACTGACAGAGGTTTAATTTATTTTTCTTTTTTTTAAAAAAAAAGTGTGAACAGGGAAAAGTGTGAACACAGGGAAAAGTGTGAACACATTTCTGGTCTGTGTATTCGTCAGAGTGGTGCTTTAATTTATAGACTGCTCTTCATTATCCAGACCACCTCTATGTGGAATCACCTGCAGCCGACTAAAGTAATCCCCTGTGAACAGTTGAAGTTGAGACACGGCGGCTGGAGATTTCGAAGGTGGTGAATAAATTTTTAAAAGTTTCTCCATGGATTCTGTTTCTCATGCAGTCCTAATTAAAAGCATTTTTTGCCACAAAGCGAGTTCTGTGATTCCTATGTATTTTTTTTTTATCACACCCTGACAAGGTAAGGAAACACATACATGACTCTTTACTCAACAGGAGACTAGTTGTATGAAAATTAAGCAAAAAAAAAAAACTTATTTCATTTCTGTATACATGAAAAAGTTAAGGACATTGCATTGCCAAAGCAATAAAAAATAACAACTAGGTGAAAACATGAATGTTGTGCTTAATACCAGTAGTAAATGAACAAACAGGATGACTGGGATGTCTGGGACAAATTGAGTAGTAGTTGTTTTCTAACCAATGACACCCTTGTTAAAGGGGCAGTACGTATTTTCCATGTATTTTATAGGACATTCAAGAAGCTATGCCACCTTTAGTTATCATAAAAATGCTACATATAGCAAAAATGACGAAAGAAATTTGACCTCGCAAGTTAATGTGATGAAATTGAGCCTCTGTCTCTTTAAAAACTCCTGATCTTTCTGAAACTCTACCTTATAGAAGTCATCACAACATGGCTCCTCTATCAACCCTTTAGCAACACTTAACAGCGTTGCACTGAGAAGTAGCTCATATGATGAGCTCGGCAGATGCACAGTTACACCAGGTGTTTGCCAATTACTGCTGGCTAGTCTGAAGGAGCAGAGTAGAGCTCTGTGAGGGAGACATTTAGAAGCTGCAGCTCTGAGGAGACGGACCAGATGTTTTTCACAGCTGAATGGTTGCCATGGGAGACTAAAGTATTTCTCAAACATTCACGGAAATTAAATCAAAGCAACACTCCAGTGTATGTTTTTGATGAGGGAATAACATTTTAGCATAATGTAAGGCTTAAACATTGATTTTTAAGTGATACTGTCCCTTTTAAAGATGACAACATTTTAAAAATGACTAAAGTTCCAGCAATTCAGCCAAACACTTTTGTTACCTCAGCTGAAAAATCCATTCTGGAAAATCTTTTGTATGATTTCAAAAATATGTACAATCAGTCGGTTTTCATGTACAAGAGGGAAATCACAACACAAATTTCAAAAGACATCTACAGCCTAAAGATAAAGTCATAATTCACACAAATCAGCTTAATTCCTTCATGGTCTCATAACCAACAGCCCATAAAAAAAAAAAAATAAAAAAAAAATCCTCCTACATGGTGATAGGTTGTTTTGAACATTTATCAGTTTCTTAATTATCTAGAGGGAAATGGTAAAACAACCACGTTCCCTCTAATAAAGCTGATACAGCATTTTTGACGATGTGTACTTCATCACTTTTATGCAAAGTCCAAAAGGCTTACAGAAGTTGAATGTCCATATGACGGTGAAAGCAATCCTGTCCTAGCTAAGAAATAAAAATAAAATGCAGAAGTTATCCTTCAACGGGGCTGAAGGTATTTCCACAGAGTGCACACGGTTATCTCTTTCCTTGCCTTTGCACACATGCAAACGGCTTTCATGGAAGCCAACCCCATGCTGATGCTTCACTCTTTGAGGCTGTAGACAAAGCTCGCAGATTCTCTCTCACACACACACACACCTATGCAAAGTGTTCATCAGCAGCCTCTGATAAATGAAGCATAGCATCAAAGATGACAGAAGGTATATTCCCACCAAAGCCTCCTTTTTGTAGTTTAACCTAATCAGTGTTTTCCAAGTGTTTCAATCTGCATCCTGTAGGCGTGAGGGCGCCTTCTTTCAGATATACGACCCAGCAGGGAGCCTGCGTTAACGCCGCCACCGAAAACAAGTGGCAAAGGAAAGAAGAGCAATTGAAACTAAGATTGGTGTTGATATGAAAGGGACAAGATGTGGCTCAACTCAAATAGAACTGATCAATGAGCTCCTAGGAAGAGGCATGCTGGGAATTTGGCGCTTCCTTGTGGCACATTCTTATTTTGGAAACATTCAAAAGGTGTTGAAGAAATTCTTTCCCTTTTTTCCCCTAGCCCCCCAATCAGATCCGTCCTTTGCTATTTTTTCTCCTGGCACTCCCGAAGTTCCATAATCCTCCTCTTTGCAAATTTATCCTCCAGTGTTTTCATTACTTATTAAAAGCCGTCAAGCCGCGGTTGGCCTTCACTCCATCATCCCCAGGAGCTCCCACATTTGGTGCAGGCCTGAGCGGAGTGGGCATAGCACACGCCATCCACTAGGCACAAAGGGTGTGGGGGAATTCTGCGGAATATTCACTCAAGTCTCCCCCCTTTTTATAAATTATCATATTACTAAAGAGGTCCATTTGGTATGTATGGTTTGTTGCCTGGGAGCTCCTCCTAATAGACGTCTATAAAGCAGGAGGGGGGCTTTGGACTCTGATGTATGCCGGCCAGACCCTACTGTCAGTGGCGGACCAGGCCATCATTTATCTTTTTATTTCCTTTCTTTTTTTAAAGAGCATTTCAAGATGAAGAATATCAACAAGCATATTTGGCACAGATGAGGCCTAAAACAATCTATGCGGCACGCTTTGCCGATGCCACGCTGAGACGGGTGCTGACGAGGATGGTGGCGGGGCGGCGCAGGAGAGGGGGGATTGACGGGAGTGGACTGGTCCTCAGGATCCCGAGTGGGACGATGTGAGGAAAAAAAAATCCACACAATATGCCGCGGTCAATTAGTGCGTGCCATGTCGGCGCGTCTCGGCCATACATCATCTGAGAGGATTTAAATCGAAAGTGACGTTAGCAAAGCGATGGCATTTGGAGGCGGATAAAAACACATTCGTTTGTTTCCTTTTGACGGCGCTTCACAGAATACATCATCTGTAGTGTCAGGATAGAGACGTCTGTTAATGTATGATTCTTACTGGTGTTTGTTTTTGCTCTTTTTATTCATGAGAACTATTTATACCAAGTACTGTTAGGACTAGTTTTACCTGGTGTGATAAACAACCCTGAACCCCTTTCTAAAGTACGTTTGCTCTAAATGATCCATGGTACCTAAAATAAAACACTTGCTCATGATCAGACATCTTAATATGTAGATTTTATTACCAAGTGCCAGGAGTAGTTGAACATTTTTGCAATGTTTTCATCGTATAATTGCCTATTTGTTTCCCTTTCACAGTTTTGGGTACAGAAACTTTTCTGCCATATGATTTATTTGTACCTGCTTCAGTGAAATTAACTTAATTTTATCGCAATATGTTACGCTACAACCTGGTTTCGGCTATTGAGAAACAAAGAGATTTTGAATTTTACCCAATCGTTAACGTTTGTCCATAGCTGAACGAAACCACCTATTTTTATAGTTCAAACACCAAATACACCTTAATGTTTGTTAAAGTGAAAACGGCCTTGGCACCATTGCAGTACCAAGGAAAATAGCTTGGAGCAGAAA